TCCCAGACTGCTGTCTCCTTAGCATCACTGAAGTGTCCACTTTCCAGCCTCTTCTGTGATTCCTTCTTGTGGCTCCCCTGGCTTGGCTTTTGTGGATTCAAAGACAGCTCTGACTCTCACTTTCCCCTCCAGGGCTGAGTCTCTAGGCTCTGGGCTCTTCTCCCCTCACATCCAGCTCCCACCACCCTAACCATGGAGGCTCGCCCCAAGGACTGCCCATATTTACCACCTCTGTTGTTTGCGACTTGCTCTCAGCAATCAGCTAGGATATGGACTCCAAGTGCTTAGGGGTGAGCTGATAGCCAGAAATGAAAAATGGGATTCTTGACAACTGTTATAAAACAGCCAGGGGCGGGGCACGGTGGCTCACACCTGTAATTCCAGCACTTTGGGAGGCCGAGGTGGGTGGATCATGAGGTCAGGAGATCAAGACCATCCTGGCTAACATGGTGAAACCCCGTCTCTACTAAAAATACAAAAAACTAACCTGGCGTGGTGGCACACACCTGTAGTCCCAGCTACTTGGGAAGCTGAGGCAGGAGAATCTCCTGAACTTGGGAGCAGAGGTTGCAGTGAGCCAAGATCGCGCCACTGCACTCCAGCCTGGGTGACAGAGCAAGACTCCGTTTAAAAAAAAAAAAAAAAAAGCCAGAACCAGTAAGATTTGTCCTCAGGGAATACCTGGAAAGGTTTGAAATCCTTGAAAGAAGTGAGCTGTGGCAACACCAGCTGGTACAAAGGATTGAGAATCTTCCCAGCTACGGGTGCTGTCCTTGGTCAGCTCCCCCACTCATTGATAGGGATAGAGGGACCTGCCGGTGTGCCCACCCATGTGCCTGTCCTTGTCTGGGGGTAGAACAAGAGTAGTGGATCCTGAAGGGCTGGACTGACATAAATTCAAAAGAAGCCCTGGGCAGCTTGAGGCAGTGCGGTGAGCGTACAAGAGAAGACGGGTCTGGATTCTGACCCTGAGTAGCTGTGGGACGCTGGAAAGTGATGCTTTCCCTTAGACTGATTTTTGGTGAAATGGGAAAAAAACCCAGCAAAACTGCATCAGGTAACCATGTGATTAATACCCAGGACACTAGCAGAATACCTGGCAGAGGTATGACGGTGTTTGCTCACAAAATGTTCCTTTCTTTTCCTCCCTTCTTCCTTCCTGCTATGTGCCAGGCGCTGTGCTAGGTGCTCAGGGTCTGGAGAAATAAGGCACAGCTCCTGCTCTCAAGAATTTCAGCCTAGATGAGGGGGCAGACATGCACAACCACCAACAGAGTGGGATGGTGGCATATTGGTATGATGAGGGTAGAAATAACAGAAATGGGCTAGGTGTGGTGGCTCACACCTGCAGTGCCAGCACTCTGGGAGGTCGAGGCGGGCGGATCACTTGAGGTTCGAAGTTCAAGACCAGCCTGGCTAACATGGTGAAACCAGATCTCTATTAAAAATACAAAAACTAGCTGGGTGTGGTGTCATGCATCTGTAATCCCAGCTATTCAGGATGCTGAGGCAGAAGAACTGCTTGAACCTGGGAGGCAGAGGTTTAAGTGAGCTGAGACTGTGCCACTGCACTCCAGCCTGGGTGACAGAGCGAGACTCTGCCGAGAGAGAGAGAGAGAGAGAGAGAGAATAAAAATGACGATGGTGATGACAAGAAGGGCTAACGTTTCCACATACTCACACTGTGCCAGGCACTCAGAGGACTATCTTGCTTCATTCTAGCAACCACCCTGTGTGGCAGATGCTATTAGCAACGTTCTACCAAGGAGGAAGCTGAGGCTCAGAGCCCAAAGTCATAGACTGAGGGGGCCCGAAGACCTAGGGGTAACGGGAGAATAAAAGAGCAATGTCTGGTTCCAAAGCGGTTGGGGTGGGCCTCAGGGAGGAGGTGATGATGCCCTGTACTTTGAAGGGTGATCTGGAGCTCCTCAGTGGGGGCACGGGAGTAAGCAACCCAGGCAGAGGGACCAGCAAGCACAAAGGAGTGTGTGTGCGTGTGTGTGTGTGTGTGTGCGTGTGTGTGTGTTGGGGGAGCGGTAGATGAGAACTTTGTGATTTGAGTGACTGACACTCATTCCTGATTAGATCATTAGAACCTGCCATCTGAGGGATGTCAACTCCATACTGCTGCTCTACAACTCTGCTATCAACAAGGGCATGGGAGCCGGCAGGCTTGAGAAGAGATTGCGCTCCTGCAGCAAAGGGGCCAGGTTTACAGAATTACAAGCAGCTTTCCTATGTCATCAGTTATCACAGCCAGTGAGCAGTACTTCCTCCGCCTCTTTATCTAAAACGGTATGGAATACTGAGGGGATTAACTCAAATTCTTCATTTAATTCTACTTTTGGAGCCTCTTCAGCTTTGGTTCAAATTTCAATGGCTCGGTTTTGCTGTCAATTCGCTGGGGTCTTGGTGAGTCACAGCCTCCACTTTTCCCCTCTGGACCTCAGTCTCTGCCAGTGTAAAATGAAGGGGATGGGCTGGAGCACAGGCTTTCAGTACGTGGTCTCCAATCCAGCAGCATTAGCATTACCTGGGAACTCATCAGAAATTCACATGCTAGCCAGATGTGGTGGCTCACGCTTGTTGTAATCCCAGCAGTTTGGGAGGCTGAGGTGGGTGGATCACCTGAGGTCAGGGGTTTGAGACCAGCCTGGCCAACATGGAGAAACCCCACCTCTATTAAAAATACAAAACTAGCTGGGTGTGGTGGTGCATGCCTGTAACCCCAGCTACTGGGGAGGCTGAGGCAGGAGAATCGCTTGAACCTGGGAGGTGGAGGTTGCAGTGAGCCGAGATCATGCCATGGCATTCCAGCCTGGGCAACAATAGCAAAACGCCATCTCAGAAAAAAAAAAAAGAAAAAGAAAGAAAAATTCACATTCTAGAGTCCCACTCCAGACCTGGCAAATCAGAAACTCTGGGGTTGGGGTCCAGACATCATTGCTTTAGCAAGCCCTCCTAGGAATTCTGATGAGAACTACCAGGTTACATCTCCAAGGTAAGGCTCTTCTTGTGGTACAACTCTATTTGTGCTCTAAGGTATTATGAATTAGTAGCATTCTTTTTGAACAAAAGTATTTCTTGCCCAAGAAAGGTGACCCTTCAGGGTAAGAAGAGAAGTTTTCTTTGACCAGCTGAAATCCAGAACCCAGGTGAGCCTCTCCAGAAAGCCTTAAGAGTATGCGGCTGACTTTGAAACCAGGTCTTTTATTTACTTGTTTAAGTAGGAAGTCTTAAACTTGGCATGTGATAAAAGCAGTGGTTTCTGTAGTCAGAGAAAAATAAAGATGAGAGGAGAGCTGCCTTCTCTTTTCAGCTCCAAAACCATGACTCACTGAGGGGTGGGCGTGTGTCCAGGGAAGGGCGGGGGTCCTGTGAGAGGGCAGTTCACCTCCCTGGTTCAGGAGCTTCCTGGTGTGTAAGTCCTGGACTGGTACCTCCCCCTTGGAGAGCATTGATTACAAAACCTCGGAAGAGCCACCAACAGCCACGGTGGCGATTACAACACAGAGCTGGGTTGACAAGCTTTAGTGAGGTTTGGCTTCCAAGACAGTAAGAATGGAAAGAATGTCTTGTCTTAAAATTTTCCCAGTCTGGACTTAAGACGAAAAGTCATCATCAGAAAGATGACAAGTAATTTCACAGTAAGGCGATGGTTTCTTCAAGCAAGAATGGGGAACACCCAGACCATGGCCTGGAGAAGGGTGGCTGTTTGGGCCAAGGCATGTCGGTTCTCACGGCGTTGGTATCCACAAATGAGCACCCTATGAGACCGACTGCCCAGCCATTTCCAAGGATTCCTAATCGTCACTTGGTGGTATCTCAGAAACAATGTGTGTGTGCAAATATATATGTATATGTACGTATGTGTATGTATATGTACATGTATGTATGTGTATGTGTGTATGTGTTTCAAGAGATTGAGATCTCCCTTCGTCGTCCAGGCTGGAGTACAGTGGCATCATCAGGTCTCACCTCAGCCCCGACTTCCCAGGTGCAAGCAATCCTCCCAGCTCTGCCTACGGAGTGGCTGGGGTCACAGGCAAGCACCACCTTGCCCGGCTAATTTTTGTATATATATGTATTTTTGTAGAGATGGGGTCTCGTTGCCCAGGCTGGTCTCAAACTCCTGGGATCAAGCGATCTGCCCGCCTTGGCCTCCCAAAGTGCAGGGTTTACAGGCGGGAGCCACCGCGCCCAGCCCAATGATAATAAATATTACCACTCTTTTTTTTTTTTTTTTTTAAATATACGGCACTGGCCACCTACCAGGCATTGTTCTAAGTATTTCACATTTATTAAGGAATTTAACCTTCACAACAAGCCCACAGAGGTGGGAACCATTATTACCCGCCAGTTACAGGCGAGAAACCTCGGCCCAGGGAGGCTGCGTCACAGAACTTAAGTCTCCTGTCACCAGGGTGCGAGCAACCATGGACCAGCAGTCAGGCACCAGGTGCCCTGGGCTCGGCTTGGCCCGAGTGTCCGGCTGCCCCATCTACGGAACACCGAGGCGGGCTGATCCGGGGGGTTTCTCCGACCACCTTCCGCTCAGGTTCTGAGAGTCTGTGCGGGTCCATTTGAGGCTGGGTCGAGAAAGGAGCCCAGGCGGACATGTCCTGAGACCCGGGTCTGTGAGGCCTGGCCGCGGGCTGTCCGGCGCTGGGCCCCCTCCGGCCAGTCGCCCCCTAGACGCCAAGCCCCGGGCTCCGCGGTCCTCGGAGAAGGGACTTCTAGCCTTTCTCAGGTGTTCCTGTCCGGAGAGCCCGGTGAGCCAGGAAGGAGCCGGCCAGAGCCCAGGAGGCGGGACCCAGAAGAGCGGCCCAGCCACAGCCAACAACGCAGTCCCTTTAACCCCTAAAACTTTCTCCCTCGATTCAGAACCCCCAGCAGATGCACATTGGCTGCGCCTTGGACATCCGGACCCGCCCTCTCTCCCCACCTACAGGCTGTCATATACATCTATCACAAGCCGAGGCTTCCTAATGGCCCGAGTTCTTGTCAATCAATATAGGGCGGAACGCTGGGCAGGGCCACATCAGTGAGCGACACGCCAGCCTCGTTACCCTCCCTGCCTCCGTGACTAGGCACCCGGAGGCACCCAGGGGACCAAAGCCGGGTGCGGAGCACCGGGGCGGACTTGTGGGGGGCTCCAGGGACTCACCGATGCGCTGTCCCACTGGAGAGCTGAACGGGTTCCCCAGGAGAAAGTCCATCGCTGCTACCGCCGCTGCCACCAACCCCGGGAATCAGCTGACAGCAACCGCCAGCTCCGCCGACCCGTCACGTGACGCGCCCGACGACCGGCGAATTGGCGTGGGCGGGGCGGCGGCACCACGGAGCTCGACCACAGGCCCCGCCCTGACGCCGGAGGGTCCCGCCCCCGAGGCGGAGGGCGACGACCTCGCTGCGGCTTCGTCGGCGGCTGCGGCGGGCGACAAGCACTACGTAGGGCCTGGGGGCGGGACCCGGGAAGCGCGGGCCTCGTTAAGCCACGCCCCTGACTTTTAAAAAGGGGGTTTGGGGGCGTGGTCTAAGGGACTCTTTACATATCTGGGAAACTGGGTCGTAGACCAGGGAAGTGACTTGGGTGAGGTTACACAAAAGCTGAGACTCTTAGTGTCTTAGCCCTTAGTCTTTGGGACCTCCCTGTGACTGCACACCTACCTTCCCTTGGTGGCAGCCTCCCTGGGCTGTCTCCTTGTCCCTATAGGACTCTTCCTTTTTGATGTCAAGGCCTCCTTGTTCCAAGATGCACCCTGCTTGCAGCCCAAATTATCTTACCTTAAATCAGAAGCAAGGGCAAGGGCTTTGTAATCTCTTGAGGCTGAGAGGCAATTTAATGAATTGCATCGCAATTCCCGCTAGCGCCCAGGATGGCAGAAAGCACAGAGATGTAGTCACGAGTGGAGCTCTGATAACCTGTCTCTGTCATAAATTTTCTGTGAGCCAAACACAGCTCCCATTTTCTTTAGATACTGGAATTAGATCAAGGACTTGTAACCATTTTTTAAACATATTTTATTTAGGTCACAGCCTCCTTTGAGAATTTCACAAAAGCCATGAGCCTTTCTGAAGAAAGAAGGCAGCGATACAATTTTGCTTATAACCTCAGGGAGTTTCTGGGGTCCCAGAAGTACCACCATGGACCCCGAAGTACAACCATGGACCCCATGCTAATAATCACAGAGGCCTTTCCCACCGTTAGATTCTAATTTTTTCAGCCTTCCTGGCTGTGTGTGGTGTGTCTGCTGACACCTACACACTAGATAACTATCTATGGGTTATGGCCTTTTCTGCTGGCAGGTACTCTAAAAATACAATAACCATGGCCTCAGTAGTCTGGCTACTGTGGGTGCTTTAGTATTTATTGTGATGTTTGTGGTTTTTAAATCTGAAAGCCTAGTAAACTGCACAAATTTTGGATAGAAAACCTAAATTAAGCCAGGCGTGGTGGCTCAAGCCTGTAATCCCAGCACTTTGGGAGGCTGAGGTGGGCAGATCAACTGAGGTCAGGCATCGAAAACCAGCCTGACCAACATGGTGAAATGCCGTCTCTACTAAAATACAAAAATCAGCTGAGTGTGGTGGTGAACGCCTGTAGTCCCAGCTACTCAGGAGGCTGAGGCATGAGAATTGCTTGAACCCAGGGGGCAGAGGTTGCAGTGAGCTGAGATCATGCCACTGCACTACAGCCTGGGTGACAGAGTGAGGCTCGTCTCAAAAAAACAAAACCTAAATTAGAACTTAATAACTTCTGTAGATTCACTTGTCTGAGCAGCCATGGCCCGATGGTCTTTACTGTACAATGTAAGAACTGCTTTGAAGTGTTTCCACAACACTCATGAGACCTGTTCACAAGTACCCCTGCCCCCACGAGTCTGGATTTCCATGGGGGCTGGGCTACTATTTCTGTTTTGCTCACCACTATTGTCTAACCCACTGACTAGCATATGAAAGCTTAAATAAATCTACCTTTCAGTAGTGGTATTTTCAAATTCTTCCATTAACCTTTATTTATTTATTTTTAGAGGCAAAGTCTCACTATGTTGCCCAGGCTGGTCTTGAATTCCTGAGCTGAAGTGATCCTCCCACCTCAGCCTCCCAAAGCCCTGGGTTACAGGCATGAGCCACTATGCCTGACCCTTCCTTTAAGCTTTTTAACAGGTTCTTGTAAGCTTTATTCTTCATGGTTAGAAAAAAATCCGAAACAACTCATATACCCCCAAAAGGAAGTGGAATCATAAACTCCATGCAAACTGATTACTATATAGCTATTCAAATAGAAATGCAAGTATATAGATTTATTTATTTATAAAGACAGAGTCTCTCCATGTCACCTAGGCTGGAGTACAGCGGCACAATTGTAGCTCACTGTAGCCCTGATCTCCTGGGCTCAAATGTTCTCACACTTCAGCCTTTTAAGTAGGTGGGACTACAGATGCATACCACCATGCCTGGCTATTTTTAGTTTTTTGTAGAGATGGAGTTTTGCTATATTCCCCAGGCTGGTCTCAAACTCCTGGCCACAAGTGATCCTCCTGCCTTAGTCTCCCGAAGTGCTGGGATTGAGCCACTGCTCTCAGCCACTATATGGATTTTATCAACACAGTAGATAGGGATGTAAATGGCAAACATTAAGTTAGTATAAAACTGTCTTTAAAAAGTATGCTAATAAGGAGCAAACTGATTTAGTAAACGGTGTTTCAATTTACTTTTTCAAGTGTTTTAGTAATATTAATATCATGCTTTACTGAGGGTTAAAATGTTCAAATTTCTTAAGACTGACAGTCTGCATAAATGTAAGCTATTATATCCTTTAAGCTCTTACAGACAAAAATCAAGATACCTTACCTTCAAAATTTAAAGACAATAGTATGATGAGAGTGAAAACCAGCTAGATATCTGAACAATGCAGAGATCTCAGATGGCTTTCCTACAATCACATCTGCTCAGGACTTGAGATAACAGAGATACTGGAAAAAGCATTCTGATGAATTATATACATGATTTAAATCTGAAAGTAGCTTGGGTTAGGAAGAGCCTAGGGTTTGGGGTCAGCTATTCCAGTGTTCTTATTCTGTCTCTGCCATTTATTAGCAGTATAAACTTAGGAGAAGTACGTTTTTGCATCTATAAAGGGAAATAATATTCATAAGTCTTTGGGGGAGGGTGAGTGAGACAAAGTATGTACATTACTCTCACTAACAGCCACTCAGTGATATGGTGGTTTCTTCCTTCATCAGACATTCACCTTTGAATTAATCATACTAATTCAGTATTGATGACTTTAACACCTTGTGTTTGCACTGAAATTTTTACCCTGAAAGACTGAATCTCCAACATTCAATATTCATATTATTATTAAACATTTCTGACAGGCTGGCTGGCTGCAGGTCTAGGGACAGGGAAGTAACATTATTCTACAGATGGGACTTTGGAAGCCTATAAAGATTAAGTGACTTATCAACAGCATTACTAAGCCAGGACAGTACTGAAACATATCATTTAGCACATGATTCAGATGCAATCCTTATAGAAGATTAATGAACATTTTCTTGATTTAGACCAACACCATAATGTACATAGTTTCGTTTGTCAAGAAATGGAGGGCAAATTTACATTTGCTAAGAAATGGGTTCGCTAAATTTACAATTTGCGAAAGGGAAAGTGAGAGCCTCTACAATCTACAATGTAAAAACTAACAGAAGCAAAGTAAAGCCTATGTTGGGAAAATGGCTAAGTAATCTCCATTGTAGGTTGCTTTTTTCTTAAGAAAATTATGGTAGAATAGAGTGAAAAACAGGTTTTATAATTTCATAGCAACTATGATTATCATGATTAGGGAAAAGACAGCTGAGACTGGACTACAAATATTAAAAATGTGATTTTTAATAATATAAGTACAAAATTTTATTTCTTTATACAACTGTAATGGGATTTGGATCAAACCACTAGAATTTATTTAAAAAACAAAATAAAACAATGATATAAAAACTGCAAGAAGGTCTGAATCCAAAGTTTTTCCTCTAATAGTACCAAATACCACAAGGTACAGATTATTATACAAATGTGTACAAATTTTAAATACAAATACAGTAGGGCTAGGTTTCAAAGGAAAACAAACAAAAAGCAGGTCCTCATCAGGATTTCATTAATGTATATAAATGACAATGCTAGGATTAATGTCTTCCTCTACTATCCATGTCTTCCCCGCCCCTCCTAGATACCCTGTGTCAAACAGGAAACTTCTACAGATACAGAGTAGGCAGGTACAAGGTTCTAACACATGAAATCAAATTAAGACTTCTGTTCCTCTTGATTTTGGTTCCCAAACAATCCTGTTTCTTTCTCTGTATTCCCAATTAAATCTTAAAACTGCTCTGGTGAGAAAGGGATTCAGCAGCCAGGCTACCCTTAAGCAACATAGCCCTGTGACAATACTGGTGGGGCGAAGGGAAGAAATTAAATAGGATGCAGGCGGGCTGCACTGTCCCCAAAGATTTTCTTTGACGCTGTAGTGCTCTGTCTAGGCCAGGAGAATAAAGCACAGTTAACTCAGAGCAGAGAATCTCACAACAAATTTAAAAACCACCCTGAAGTGCTCAACTGTCTTCTTTCCAACTGGGAAGCAAAAGTTTGGTTCTTTGGAAATAAGAGCAGCTGGGGATGGTAATATTCCTCTTTATTATTCCTCTTTATTTTACTTTCTAGACATTATTGAAGGCCATGAAGTTCTTTATAAATAATTAGAATCCTAACATGATTCATTTTTGAGGTAAAATACCTTAAAATGTAGATGATTCAGAGTTACTGGAACAGACCAGGAGGAAGGAAGGAAGGAGGGAAGGAAAGGAAAGAAGGGAAGGAGAAATAACAAATCTGTATCTTCCACATGCTGTTGCTGGTGGAGGCTTTGTTATTAAATTATATATACAGAAATTTACAGGATAAATTAAAATCTAGGAGATTTTAAAGAGTTAAATACACATAATTAAAATATACATTCACACGCACAAATAAATAAACCTACGAGAGAGAGTTTTGTTTTGTTTTGTTTTGTTTTTGCAATTCACTTATATGTGGAATGCAGAACACTGTGTATCTGCCCACCAGGGGAACCGATAAGATGAACCCAAAAATCATGCTGGGCAAAGTTTATCCATATCCACCAAGCAACTAAGCAGCATGGCTTGTGAGGACTTGGTGGTTAACTTCATGCTGCCAACGAAAGATACCGGCTCTTAGTTTTGCAGACTAAATATTCTGGGTTAGCTCAGAATCTATGGAAGTCCAACTGGTGGCACTGACAGCTTCACGAACGCTCCAAGGTATTTTCTGCTGCCCGGGCTCACAGAACTGTTTGGCTTCTCTTGAGGCCGCCAATGGTACCAATATTACAATAAATTTTGAGACATGGACACCTATATAGTAGGAATTGGAATGAACCCCCTACTCAAATCACCTAAGCCATCTCCATAACCATACTGGGAACAATTTTATCACCTCCCACCTAGGTCACTTCAAATGGAAAGGCTTTGTATTTTCAGTTAACTGGCATCTTTCTGTAATCTTTCTTATTACATTTCAGACTAAGACAGGTAAGGCAAATGGTCAGTGATGGGTCTGGGGGTCCAACTGAGTTTGGAAAATAATCACATTTTAGCTGTCCATAAAGAGATGCACTTGGCACCCAGAACAAGCCCCCAGCCCCTAAGTTACACTGATTTTTAAGGCAGATTTATCCACCACAGGAGAAAAAAGAATCCCAAGCCCATGTTCATGCCAAAATTTCCTCTTGGCTAAACCTTTGCCATTTCATAAAATTATTAAAAGCAAAGTAGTTACAGTCCTATGTATATACTGTACATTATATATATATGTATGTATAGATATAAAAATTTAAAACCTACACCCAGAGGCCAGTGAAGGAATCTGGAACAGTCATTATATACACAAACCAGCAATAGCATAGGACAAGGTTTCTGTCCCAGGATTCTTTGCTGTCACAGTCCAGGCATGATGTAAGCGATGTTGTCTAGTGTGTTTGACTGCAAAACAAAGAAAAAAGTTCAACTGAAGAGTTCTTTACCTTGGTTTCCTGAGACATGTTTCTTTGTTCAAGGAAAGAGATAAGAAAAATCAAATGGAGTTAGAAAAACAGGTGAGAATGAAGGTGGCGTCCTGTTGTTTGTTATGCTAGGAATTTTTCTACTGACTTCTCCTATTAATCCTAGTAAAAAAGAAGGAGACAATTCCTGTACTGTCTTTGTGTGTAGAACAGCAAACAAGAAACACAGGAGTTGCAGTACCTTAAGGGCTAGAATGCTTCTCTTTTTAAGCGTTATTTTGGTAAATGGCTTGTTTTCTAGTTCAGTGAAAGCGCAGCATGCATTTCGTAATATAGCATCATGTTCCATGGGCCAACAGATGAAGGAAGCACTATGTGTCACAAAGCCTTATGAGCCTGTCTCTGACAGCGGTCATTAAGGCAGGGCCTCTCTGACTCCCTATGGGTTTGACCCTAAAAATCCAGGGAAAACTCACCAAGACCTGTTTGGGACAGCCATTCAATTCAGGTAGTTGTGTGGTGAGACACGCCAAGGGGCCCAGGGCACAGATAATGGAATCCAGAAGCACTGACAAGCTGCCAGACACAGCCACCATACCCTGAAAAGGAGAGGAGGTCATTGCTTGAGTCACACTCCTGATGCTCTCTGTGTTCTGGCTGACTTCCTCACAAGTACTTTAAATCCTAGGTAGTTCTAATCCTACAATTTGAAACTTTACAGCAGATATGAAAAGATTACTTTGATAACTCTGTAAGTTGTCTAGAAAGAAAGCTTTTACAACACATTCCCAGGTTTCCTTTCTATAATCCTAGCCCATCTTACCTTCTATGGGACCTTGGGGAGTCCCATACTTAACTTCTGTCTCCTTAACAGGAACAGTATAAAATGCTTTACCTACTCTGGAGAGCTGGTGGTAAGATGTGTGATTACATATGCGAAGTATATCTGTTATAAACTCCACAAATACAGCTCACATGTGATTACTATGAGAATCCTACAACCCTACATGTATGTAGCTTTTGATAGGTCATGATAAAATTTTTCTATGTTGAGTTGTTCACTCTCAAAAGAAGTGAATTTGGTTTGAATTTTAACATTTTATGTGATTCACATTGTCTATATATTTGTGATTCAAAGAGATAAGAAAGACTGTTGCTGCTGCCCAGTTCTTGTACAATCTGCTTTAACTAGAAGCACTGTGAGGATGTGTCATGTTGGGAAGCAGCACAGCAAAGTCCTTAAGAAAATGAGTTCTGGATTTGAGACTGCCTGGGTCCAGATCCTGGCTTCAGTACTTACTGTTTTGTACCTGGGCAAGTTGCTTACTGTGCTGTGCCTGTAAAACACTAACAGCATCTGCAGCAGAAGGGATTGACATAACAGATACAATATACTTGGGATGGTGTCTAATACATGGTTAAGTACTCAAAAAATATCAGTAATTATGACTATTATTACTAACGTCTTTATCTTCAAAACTGCATTTCTGGCTGTCTTTTGGGTCTCTCCTTTTGGATATTTCTCAATCTCAACATGCTGTAAGGTAGAATAACCTTCCCATCCAAATCTAGCCCTCCTTTTAGCATCCACTTCTCTGCCAAAGTCACCACTATTGACACAACTGCCCAGTCTCAAGGCCTAGCCATCACTGACTCGTCCCTTCCAACACCCTCCTTGTCAACATCTCCCCTCTATACTTTCTGAGGGCAGCAATAGAGTAAGAGGTTAAGAGCCCGGGCCTTGAGGCCACACTGCAAATTCAAGTCCCTGCTTTATCACTTAGGGGCTGAACTCTTGAGAAAGTGACTTCACCTTTCTAAGTCTGTTTATTCTTCTGCAAAACAGGGGGAACAAAAATTCTGCCTCGCAAAGCTGTAGTGTGAATTAAATAGTTCATATTAAACACTCTGAACCAAAGCTGGGTGAGTAAACATTTAATAAAATGTTATATATGGGGAAGATAAAAGCTAAAAAACCCAAAAATGTCAGTAATTAGTAATATTATTCCATTACCTTTGCCCTATGGTTACTTATAGCTAATTTATCTTTGTCACATCTAGACTAGGATTATTGTCATAACTTCTCCCCAATTCTGGTCTCTTTTCACTTCCAATTTAAAATAAAAGATATTCTCAGAGAAAAGTAAAAGAGTTCTGATCACATTCCTTCCTACTCTAAAAACTCCTGTAGTTCCTCAGTAGTAAAGTATACATACTATACAATGTCTGTGAAGTCCCTCTGCAATTTGGGTTTTAGTCTTAACTTTCTTAAGAGAGAGAGATATATATGTATTTTTATTTTTTTGAGACAGGGTCTCACTCTGTTGCCCAGGCTGGATGAAGTGCAGTGGTGTGATCTCAGCTCACTGCAACCTCTGCCTCCCGGTTCCAGCAATTCTCTTGCTTCAGCCTCACAAGCAGCTGAGATCACAGGTATGCGCCACCACAACTGGCTAATTTTTGTATTTTCAGTAGAGACGGGGTTTGTCATGTTGGCCAGGCTGGTTTCGAACTGCTGGCCTCAAGTGATCCTCCCACCTTGGTTCCTAAAGAGCTGGGATTACAGGCGTGAGCCACAGTGCTGGGCCTCTTGCCTTAATTTTCTAACTTATGCATCGTATGTTCCAGTTTTACTGCTAAAATGATGAATGTTAATTTACTGTTGAACATCTTATTTTGATAATTGTATGTCCATTATGATGTACATAAAAAAATAGAATATAACCCTTGAGACATCAAGAATGTCACTGTAAAAGCACAGACAAGTTTATTTAAACAAAACTATAAATAATAATTTAAGTGGT